TTGACATGTCCAGCAAACCTTTTCACCACCCGTTGGCTTGTTTGCTTTTGACGAAGAAGCATTCATCTTACCCTTGCCCTTATCATTTCCATCCTGCTTCTGATTGTCCTTCTTCCAATCCTTACCCTTCTCCTTTTTCTTTGACTTATAAGAAGAGACATGATCAAAAGTTAGACCCGATGTGCGAAAATCCACCAATGCGTCCGCTGCCGCAATTGCACTAGGCAGATCTTTAACTTTCTGCCTACGAATTTCATTTTGAGCCCAGCCTTGCATTCCGGAAATGAAATTGTGCAACTTGTCCTCATCTGACATATTTTGGATGTCTAGCAACAAAGATGAAAAATCTTTGACATAATCCCGAATAGAACCAGTTTGTCTTAACCGCTTCAAGCCATCCCTAGCAACCCAGGACGAGTGGCTAGGCAGTTACTTTTCCCTCAATGCGTTACGAAGTTTTTCCCAAGTATCTACCTTGGGTCTGCCCGCACTATCATCGTCAGCATTTTTTGTACGCCACCATAACACTGCATCTCCTCTGAAATAACGCACCACCATAGTCAATTTGTCCTTCTCCGAGACATGAGCAGTCGAGATATAATGCTTCAAGTCCCATAAGAAGTTTTTCAATTCCTTGGCGCCTCTCACACCATCAAAAGTCTTTGGTTCTGGGATCTTAATTTTGGAATGTTCTTCACCTCCTTGGGGCACATTTGCAACAGCCCGTCGGAGGATCTGAAGTTCCGTTTTAAGATCCTCGATCTCCTTTAGTAAATTTTCCAACTGCCCAACAACAGTTTCCTAGAAAGCCTGCAATTCCACAAGTTGGGTATCAACAGTTTCACGAACATGTTAAAGTTTTGTGTTGACGCCATGGATCTGCGTCAGAATATCCACCAGATCAACTGCGCCATCCGTAATTCCCACAAGCACGTCTAACTTCTGAAGCCTTTCACGAAGTTCTGTATTTTCCGCTATAATAATACCAAGATCTTGCCGACGTTGCTCTGATACCAGTTGTTACAGGGTCAATTGTTTTCAGATTGACACTGCACGACAGTCACCAAACAATGACTCAACCTTCTCTCTTTTTCCCTCACGTTTTCGGCCTACCACTTTAGATTATGATAGCGAACAGAAATGAAACAAGGCACACACGAATTTACGGGAATCGCTTCCCAACTTTGTCTTTTAACTCATGCCACAAATAAGCACATGAAAATCATAGCCTTTACAAAAAGGAGTTAAGGCAACCAACACCTCTCTCTCTCTCTGCCTTAACAAGTTTGCCTAGCCCCCATGTATAGACAAACGTTTTTGAACTTTGCCTTATCTAAAACCTAGTAGTTGACATCCCCAACTGACAAGGAATTCGAATTTCAAACATTCAAATAAGACAACTCCTACCAGCCCACTTAGCCAAACTTGCTGAAAAATCGGAACTGCCAACTGCCCGGCATGTGCATGGCACACGGGCGCAGCTTTGAACTTGTGGCGCCAAAAAGGCCAACTTTGTCATGTCTTCGCGCCAAGCCTTCGTGCAGCATGCCTTTGCGTGCATGTCTGCCACAAGCCTTCGTGCAGCATGCCTTTGCGCGCATGTCTGGCGCCGCCGTTTGTCTAGCTCGCCCATGACACTGCCTTGCTCGCCTTGCCCGCGCCCATCTGCCTTGCCACATACTACCTTAGTTTTTTCAGCCTTTGCTAAGCTTGATGCCCGTTGTCTTTGCTTTGCCATGGCCACGCCAATGCCATGGTCTTTGTCATGCCTTGACACCTTAGCCACCTGCCGTCGTGCCACAGTCCATGCCCATCAACACCTGCCCAAGTCGGACAGCTTTGTCAACATGATGCCATTGTCATCATAGGACGGTGCCGAGGTCCATCATGTAAATCCCTCGCCACACCCATGTCATATTTCGATCAATCAAGCCGAGGGGCTAACAGTAGGTTAGACCAATAGACGGAAGAGAACAACCGAAACAACATGACATAATTCACGTGTTTCATTTATAAATATTATTCCTCTCCTTTTTAACTTATTTGACATAATTTGAATTTATACACAATTTAAGAAATAAATAAATAAAATTAAAATTTGATGTGTTAAACATGTCATTACATTTAACTAGTTTTGTTATAAAACTTTTGAAATTTTGACTTTAAATATGCCATAACATTTGAGTTTTTATAAAATTTTCTCATTTAGAGTAAAATTAGAAGTGTAAAGTTAATTGTTCTCAAATTCAAAAGTATGTTCAAAAGAAAAGAAAAAGTGTCAATATTTTTAGACAAATTAAAAAGAAAATTATGTCACATTAACCGGAAAGGAGAGCGTGCACCTGTGTTATTGATCTGGTCAGAATTGGCTTATCAGTGTGGTAGTTGGGGCCACTACATAATGCAACATATATAATACTCATAGTAATAGGAGCGAAAACTGAAAATGCATGAGTATTGCCCCATGCAAATAAATAACAAAAACTTAGTCATTAGGTTTTGTGTTAAGAATAAAGAATATACTCGCAGTCGTAGGTCACTGAGCTTGACTCATCTCAAAACTTGATCGACTTTGATCTTTTGAAAAAGGGTGCGAGTGAAAGTTACTCATCAAGCTAAAAATGTTCTGGTGCTCAAGTCATGATTTGATCAGTAATGCTCTTAAAAAGATAGGTGTAGTCAGTAGTGGTGTGAAAGCAAATGGAAGACATGAAAACATAAGAGCTCAAAGTGAAGTGTATAAGTCAATTAATACTTGTGCCTGCAACGTCTTTTTGTGAATGCAATAATAGTCAATTGGGCCGTCTCCTACGGCTGGATATGGGCATGTACAGTTACCCATTTTCAGAGATAAAAATTGTGCAGATATACCTCAAGTTTGTCGTGGGATAAACAGAATCCATCAACCCTTAACCACATGTCTGAGCTCTGAAAACGAATTTTTTTTGGGTAGAGAGTGCTTGCTCCTTCAATAGGCCTTATGCTCAGGGGCGGAACTACGGTGCTATTTGCGGGTTCGGTCGAACCCAATAGCTTTTGCTCAAACTCTGTATTTATATTAAAACATTCAATGAATATGTACAAATTATTAATTTAGAACCTAGTAACTTAGAAAAGATTATAATCTCGAACCCATAAGGTTCAAATCCTAACTTCGCCTATACTTATGTTGCACGAATTCAAATTAGTCAAGGCTTGTTATGGGTGGAAAAAGAATTGTACAGATACTCACCCATCTTGCTTGTTATGGGTTGTTGACTAACGTTGGTGTGACATTGGGAAAACTATGTTTTTTGCCGGTGATTTTGAGTTTCAGGAGGATGGGCCATCTGCCTGTGGTTGTGGATGTGATTGTTTTTATCCTTCCGGTCCACTTTAATTGATTTTTTTGATTTTTTTTTTTGTGATTCACGATATTTAATTTTTTTCCGATATCAAGAAGGAATTAGTTTTTTTTTTCAAAATTAATCTTATAGTAAGAGTCTAGGAGTATTTGTTATATTTCAAATGTACAAATTAAAGTTAATATAATTATTTTTATTGTTAATTAATGTTAAACGATGAATTTCTTAATATATATAAAAACAATCAAAAAAATCAAATAAAATGAACTGAAAAGAGTACAAAATTAGTTCTGAAATACACACTCCCATCACACCTCGGGTTGTCCAATACCTCATTGTTTTCATTCAGAAAGGTGGACTTACAATCTCTGTCTTCTACCTGCTGTTTTGACATATGCCGATCTTTATTTACAAAATGTTTCACATAGCGACTGATATATCATATATGCTCCGCCCCTGAATTGACTCTCAATGGGGTCCTTTTACTCTACCATTTTAGTGCATGTTGTCACGTCCTTAGTATTTAACTAAGTACACGTGTGATACTTGACAATTCGCTCACGATCTTGGACAACTTGCTCACGTTCTTGCTATGCCAAGTCAGCCTTACTATGCTAAAGATTGCTAAGAGAATGTTATAACACAGGAGAATTGCCAAAGAAAACTTTTGTATTAGAGAGAACTTGATTGTTTTTCTTGGTTGGTGAATTACAAATGAATGACCCCCTTTATATACTAGTCTCCTAGGGGCTAGTATGTAAATATTAATTGTTACACAATTCCTTAATATTTACAAGATAAGGGCTTTCTCTAGAACTTTCTACAAATCTAGAAGATTCCAAGGACTTTCCTAACAAATCCATAGGGATCTAGGGTCTTCCTAAGAAAATGTTCACACTTCTCTAGAATCTTCTCATAAATGCTAGCATTCCTCCTATGTAAGCTTCCACATGGTATTAATATATATGCCAAATGGCACCTGCGTGACATGATAATGTAGCGGATCGTGACAATGTGCATCCAAATTGAAACATTTAAAATAATAAATTGAGAGCAATATCTCTACGAACTCCTTTGGATGTCTTAGTATTTTTATATATATAACTGAATATCTTGATGCACATGTAGTTCAATTTTGGGTCTACGCGTGAACTTTGATGTAGATTAAAAAGTTAAAAAAGAATATGCCAAAGGGCGGCTCTGAGTCTCTAATACAATGTGAAAGAATTCGAACGTATAACCCAAAATCTCAAGAATTTTAATACATGAGCCGAGAGGAAACAACATTACTTACCTTTCAAGGTAGAAGTAAGATTGTGTACACACTATCCTCTCAGATTCCACTTATAAGATCGCACTGAATTTATTATTGTTGTTATTATTGTTATTGTTGTTATTATCTAATGTGAGACTTTTATATAACCCAATAGTCTCTGTATGATAAAAAGTGTTAACTCTATTGTAAATAAAGAAAGATTTTGGAATATGAGCGTTAAAAGTATATGACATTTAGCGTAAAATTGGACTGATTTCTTGTTTCTTCATATGAAAGTTAGACAATTACCAATTAAATAAAGAATTCTCCTCATTATTAAAAATAAAAATATGCAAGTGACCTTAATGACTTTTTAATTGTCGTTATCACAGACTAGATTATAGTTTCCAAACATAATTACCAACTGTAGTCTGTAGAGCAGTTAGATACAAAATATCTATTCGTTTTGTGAACCAAACTTCAAAAAGGCATTAGCTAACATCTGTCCAAGCTGGATCTCTGCTGGAGTACTGAGATGCACAAAATCTGGGCCTACTTTGAGCCTATTAGCATCAACTGTTTTCACATTTCTAAGGTGAATACCCAACTGGGCCTCTCTGATAATTTCCTTATAATGCCCCAGTGTTGTTGCCAATGCCACCTGTGCAAGCCCAAATCACAGGGAAAGATCAAGTAAAGCTGTTCAAACTCGACTATGCTTCAAATAATACACAATAATAGTAGTCGGTGTATACATTTGAATTGCTATTCTAAATGGTACAAGTACGAAAATGTTAAGCAAAAAACAAGAAACATAAATTTTATACTTCTTAATTGTTAGCTAATCTATATTTTAATTGCAACATATTGTTTGCTTTGATCTAATAAATCTCATCGATTTGTTTCCTAAGAAACGCCTCATAACTTAATGATTTTTTATTTTTGATATATGAATAAAATCCTGTTCATATAATCATATCTGATGTAAACACTATTAATCTCCTTTCTTAATTGAATCTCTTGTATGTAATTCACAAGTCACTTAGGTTCTTTTCTTTTTTCTTTTGTATTATTCTATATTTCTTGTTCTAATTCCCAAGAAATCATCTATGTATTTACCCAATAAAAACTATGAGTAATATTTCCAACTTTTTGAAAACATTTCCATGAATCTTCTAAAACCAAAGATTCTACTATCTTGATTAGTAATGAGGATAACTTAACAATAAATTAGGTATTACTTGGAATCATGTTACATAAATTGAAAATGAGAAAATAACTTGTATACACTAATAATGTAAAGAAAACATTGAAATTACCTGAATAATAGGGAGGAAAGGTGCATGCAAGTCATTGCGCATATCAGTGAAGAATTTCAGCAATCTTGAATTATACAATTTTGCATCCTCAAATTCCAAAGTATCACTTTCTCCTTGATACCACAAAAGTGCTCGAACCGTCCCACCACCTTGTAGCGCAGTCTCAGTTCTATTTAGCATCTGATTGTAATTAAAAGATCCCTTAGACCATTGGCTAATATTTGTGGAACCAACAGCACATGGCACTAAACCAATCACACCTATTTTTGGGTCATTTTTCAAGACTGAATTAGCAAATGACATGCCAGGACCAATCCCACAAACTGCATAATAATCAATATCTTGATGCATTGGCTCTTTTGCTTCTTCCCACAGAAGTTCAGCTGTTAGCCTAAGAATTGATGGATTGGACTGACATTCAGGTGGAATATACTCATCCCATTTGTTGTTTACTACCCCTCCTCTGCCGGACATGTTGCTTTGGCCTGCTAAAATAAATATATTTTTGTTACCATTTGTTGTACAAAAGGGGTGTGCTGCCAAAAGAATCAAGAAAATATAGCGCAACATCGTTTTCTTGGGGATGTAGTGGCTGAAAGAGAAGCAAAACAGGCTGGTTGGAAATTGTATTTAAGTATGACATAGAGAAATAGGAAGGAAAATTATGTAATTAAGACTAGTGAAGCTGCAGTTGATGTGTCATATGGTTAAATTGGTAAGGATGCGTTAATGATACGACCAAAAATGGCCTCCAATTCTTGCGATGGCAGATCAATTTGGCAATGCATGCATTAATGCAAACGACCAAAAATGATCTCAACTCTTGAGATGACAGCTTGGTTAAAACTTACCATTTACAGAGTACTAAGTAATAGTATAAACAATGAGCAAATCTTGGCATCGAAAAGTGATGGATTGCATATACCGTTCTAATTAGGCAGCGAGAATATAATAACAAACAAGCCGGGCAAGGTTTATTTTATGTTTAAACATTTGTTCAGGCTAACTAAAAAGCTAATATATAGTATGAAATACATAAAAGGCACTTTTTCATAGTTCTTGGTGTACAAGTGTATATAGCTTCGGAAATAAAATTATTTCGGGAAGAGATAGTGGCTTAAGAAGAGGCAAATGAGGTGGGTTTAATGTGCTAAGCCATTCTGTAATTTATAGTACCTGTCAAAACAAGGTTGATTTCATATGCATATGATAGTTTCCAAATAAAGTCCAGCTTCATATGATAAGTTAAGGATATGCATATGAGAGTTTCAGAGTAAACTATGGCTTCATATGGTAATTAAGTTGGCAATGCGCTGCATATGATAGTTTCCTAGTAAACTGTGGCCTCACATGATAAATTGGAAAAGATGCATATGATGGTTTCCAGGTAAACTGTGGCTTCATATGTTTAGTTTGTGAGGATGAACACATATGACAGGCCACAAATGTCTACCAACTAAAGTCTTGATACGACAAATTATTTACCATCTACTATATATTTAGATTATTACTATAGGTAAGGTGAGGTGCAATGCACAATCACGGTATGAGGTCCCGCAGGAAGGGTAAAATAAAAAGTCAAGCCCGATGCACAAAGTATCCTGCATTCACGTAGGGTCCGGAAAGGGCACCACCCCAAGGGGTGGGATGTAAGCAACCTACCCGTATAATATAACTTAGTTTCGGGATACATCTTTTGTATTTTAAAATCAAATACTTACACCCTCTATATTATGAAAATCTTACACTCACACCCCTGAGGAGCAGCATTTTTCCAATGTAGGCAGAAGAATAGGAGCCAAAGTGAACAGATCATATGATTATCAAAGGTGCTTTACACACTTTTTGCACACTCGTGAATTTCAAAGTTGCTTTTTTTGTTTGGTTTTTAGCAATTATACTTCAAAATGCTGTTGACTCATTGCTTGACTTTGAGGGGATATCATTTTGGCACGTTAGAGAACATCTGATGCTCTTAACAATGAAAAATTAAGAAAATCCATTCATAGGCATATAGTTGAATATTCTAGGGTCATATATATAAGGTTGGTTCCATCTGTTTTAGGTTTATTTGATCTAATTTTCCATTCGTAGATATACAAACTCATCACTAAACTGAAATGTATCCCCTTTCATTTTATTTTATTTGTCTTTCATTTCACATATTTCGACTTTGACTTGGGCATCTGCCTGGGCCTTATAATTCTACTGTAACAGTATGGCCCAATTTAAGCTTGAATTTTGAGTCCTCGTATCTAATAGGAAAAATGATACTGTATAACCGTTGTAAAAATAATACTCAAAAAAATATATAAAATTTATGTATTTTTTGTATATATATACATTCTATATGTTATATATAAAAATTATACAAATTTTATATACTTTTTCGGCTACCAGATATAAATAGTTTCTGGCGCGGGCTAAAAGTGATAATGCCCCTACATAATATTCCCTCTATTTAATTTTACTGACAAAGTTTTTTCTTTTTAGTCTATTCTAAGAAAAAATAATTAACACTTTTGTATATATAAGAATAATTTAACTTTAACATTTTCATTTTTCTCTTCGTGACATGGATTTTGTAGCCAAAATGGCATGACATCTTTAAGCGGTAAAAATTAAGCATCTACTGCATTTTCTTTCTATTCATTTTGTGTAAATGAATTCTTCTTCAGTTGCATAGCCTCTAAAAGTCTAAACGTTCCATTGTAATTAAACCCATATGCCACTTCCTCTTCATTGGACACAGCAATAAGTAGGAAAGTGCACAGTTAGCCACTAATTAAAGATGTCTTTATTCTTTAGCCACTATTTAAAATATATTTACTCTTTAGCCAATGCTTAATAAATTTTTACGTGTAAATATTAAGGACATAATATCCTTAACTTCATGAATGCTGTGTAAATATTAAGGACAAAGTGTCCTATATTTGCACCTTCCGTTGTTAAACTTTAGGACATCATGTCCTTAACTTCATATGTGCAGTGTAAATGTTAAGGACATGACATCCTTAACTTCATGTGTGCAGTGTAAATATTAAGGACATAATATCCTTAACTTGTATTTGCACCTTCTATTGTTAAACTCTAGGACCTCATGTCTTTAACTTCATATGTGCAATGTAAATGTTAAGAACATAGTGTCCTTAACTTTATGGGTGTTGTGTAAATATTAAGGACATGGTGTCCTTAACTTCATGAATGCTGTGTAAATATTAAGGACAAAGTGTCATATATTTGCACCTTCCGTTGTTAAACTTTAGAACATCATGTCCTTAACTTCATATGTGCAGTATAAATGTTAAGGACATGACGTCTTTAACTTCATGTGTACAGTGTAAATGTTAAAGACACCATGTCCTTAATATTTACACAGCACTCATGAAGAAAGGGTAAAAAAAACTTTTCGTATTAATTTTAATAGATTAATGACTATTTTTGCTCAACATTAAAAATACTGAATAAAAACTAAATACCATGCTAAAAAGTGGCTATCCTACACCATTTCTACGCAATAAGCCCGGCTTTCCCTTGGTCCCGTCTCTTCTTAATCACCTAGTCCACTGCTTCTTGGAGGCCCAATTCCTTATACTCCACAACAGCTGCCACATCTAGGGCGAATGTAGCCTTTCGACTATGAGTTCAATTAAGGAAAAATTACGCGACACATCAAATATTTACACTATATTTATCATTCGTAGCTATACTTCCAGCAAATTTATCATTCGGAGCTATATTTAAATTTTATAGCAAATTCATGAAATGAGAGATAAATTGTTTTGAACTAAAACAAGAGGGCAACAAGTTCTTGTAGCTTAGTTGGTTAAAGCGCCTGTTTAATTAGTGGAGGTCTTGAGTTTGACTCTCAACAAGAATATTTTATTTTATACAGTCGATACAAGTTGTATCCTTTGTATACACTCATGTACAATTGATACGAATATAATTGATACAGGTGTGGATTTATATATAAAAACCTACTGAAATCTCAATAAATATTAGATTTGAACCAATAATATTAACAGTACAATAAATTTAATGCTAAAAATCTATAAGCTAAATCCACTAAATTTAAACCCTGAATCCGTCTTTGGCCACGAGCTAAAGCCCGCAAGAGTCATGGCTTGAACTTCACCGGTACACGAATTATGCAAAAAAGTCTGTTTTTCTGAATTCTCTCATCATTAGCAAAAATAACATTGTAGTAGTAGTAGTAGTTATGGAAATGTTATTCTCTTTTGAATTTTAAATACTTTCTCTTTTATAGCCTTGTTAAATAAGGTTACTACTCTTAATGAAATGTTTTCAATTTCCATATTTTAAATATAGTATTTTCTTTTACTCTTCTCACTCATCTTTTTTCAACTTGACTAAAACTTACAGTTAGTTCATGTATTACTCCTTGAAACACAAACCCGATAGTGAAACGTATTCTTTTACCAATTTTTATAAATAATTTTTACGCCATCAAATTAACAATAGAAACTGTAGATTGATAACCTTTTAAAAAAAAGTTATTAACCTTTTGTGATTGGTACTCTGGGCCAGTTTTACTCATGACCCACCCTAGATCCCTGGACACATAGAAGATCCAAGTGCATTAGACTATTTCAGAATTTCAGATTGGACCATGTGTACGGCCTGGCCCATAAACAATGGAGCTAGTCTCTTTTTTTTTGATACATCATACAAGCAAACATACCAATATAATGGGGCCAGAAAACAAAAACAAAAGAAACATTTAAATTAAATTGTATAGACATGGCTAATGTTCTGATATCTTAGGTGGGTAAGGATTGAATGTTTTGTTTGGCATTTATCTGAGATAGGGACTCTTCAAAGCCTGCAGATTGTGAGTAATTGCATTACAAGAACCCATTTGGATTCTCAACATGTGGTAGCAAATCTTTTATCTGTCCCCCTTCCCACCAAAGTATATTTAAATAATAATAAGGTTAAAAACAGGAACGTAGACTTTTCGTCTAAATATAAAGTCATTTTTAAATTTATGTAATTAATATTGAATAAGATACAATGGAAGGAATAAATATCAATTAGACATGTTAGGTCCAATGTTTGTCAAGAGTCTTTTGATCATATCAAAAACTTATATGCCGATAGAAAATGAAGTGACCTTTGATTGCTTGAGAGATGAATTTATTTTTATAATATTGGAATAAGACGAGTTTAAATAGAGCGACGATAATGATGGTTCATTTAATTAACTCCAACTTGCTTGAAATTGAGGCATAGCAACAGTAATAGTTATTGTTCTAAATTGTAATGTCTGATTTCATGCCAGAACAGATGTGTTGACCCTCCTATTCCAAAACCAATTATTTTGCTTTTTTCTAGGATGGGGGGAATAGTTTTTTTGAAAAAGAAAAATAAAGAACAGAAATCTGATCCCTAAATAATTTCAGAGAAAGAGGATAGAACTTAGAAGGATAGTTGACAATAATTTCAATCACGCCTGGAATGTGTATACTTCTGGCAAAAGCAGATAGATGAAATGGCCTGTCTTTCACAAGTCCTGTTCCAATCAAACCATATATGTTTTGCAGAAATGGGCCCTTTCCATTAATATTATGCAGCCCTAGTAAAAGTTCGTACATGTTGTGTTTCGTATGTTTCGATTATCTTATTTTTCTAGCTATAATTGCCGTTTCTCTTTCTATAGATTCTCCACTACCGTATTTTTTTTTCAAAATTATTGTGTTTATGCTTAGGCGAGAATTTATCAAAAATAACATATATACTTCTTTACCCGAAAAACGGATAGAGTTGAATTTATTCGTAGTTCTAAGGATACGTGGTATAACTTGGCAGAAATCGAAAAAGTATGTAGAAAAATATCGAATATTGACTGTAAAAAAGGAATGAAATACAAACCAAACTGAGTAGAAAACGATTTATGAACAAACAAGATGAATCAATGTACAAGGCTCACAAAAGGATAATCTTTCATGTATCTATATGTGAATATCAACAATCTTTTCAATAAGGGAGTGTGTAGATGCCTTAATATTTTGTCTCCTTTTCTTACAAAAATGATAGCCACTCTTTTATAGTGGAGGGATCCTACTTTGGATATAATAAAAAATACATAGTGGAGATCTCATGATATATTAGTTAATTTAGCTTTTCCTTAATTCCCGCTGAGATTCTCTCCCCAAGTGCGGCTACAACGACTCTTATCTCTTAGCTCGATCTTGGTCGAATTTGATATTGGTCGATCTCCAGATTTCGAGCTCGATACTGACTCGAGCTCGATATTGACTCGGGCTCGGTATTAACTCGGGCTCGGATCTTGAGTTCGATAACGCCACTTCACATTATAGCTCGATTTGGACTCGAGCTCGATAATGACTTCGAGCTCGGTATTGATCGGTCCTTGAATCTTGTTCCAATCTTGACTAATTACATGAAGGGCAAAACCGATTTTGACCATATACAGATAGTCCCCTCGTTTCTCGGAAAAACAGATTACAAAACCGATTTTCCAATGATACGACTAGATATACACTAACGTTTGCATCGAGCTCGACCATGACGTATGTGATAACTGTCTCGTCGGTTTAGTTACCAAGGCATTAAATGTGTGTCAGACGATGGTCGGCCACTGCTGATATTGAGCCGTCGTTGCCAACTCTATAAATAGCTCATCTCTTTACTATTTTTTACTTTTAGATCTCCAATCTCCAAATCTTCTAAATTCTTTTTCGCATCTTCTGAGTTCTTCATCTGCAATTCTGTGATTTTCACTGTAAATTTTTTCTCTAAACACCAAAATACTTCTGATCTTTATTCACAAAAATTTAGATGGCCAAAACGTCAAAAACTGTTCCTCAAAAAGAGAATGCCTCTTCATCGTGGCCTGCCGGCGACAAAACACCGGTGGAGCCATGACCTGAGGAGTGCGTTCCCGAGTGGCGTGTTCTCACTTCTAATTTTAAGACTGATAAAGTCTCGTCAGTTCTCGGTCGATGCGAGCCACTATCGAGGTATATATGCTGGATAACTGAGGGATACCTCAAGCAGGTAAGGAAAGATTGCAACTAGAAAAACAAAAAAGTGGTGATCCCGGCCCCTGAAGAAGATATCACCACTTATGCGGAAAGGGTTTTTAAGTGTGTACACTTATCACCACTTATGCGGAAAGGGTTTTTAAGTGTGTACACTTACCCTTTCACGTTGGGCCCCCTTGACCCCGCCAGTATCAAATAACCTTAGGAAAAATCCACCCTTCCTTTTGGCGAATCATTATTCTGCTTCGATTTTTCGTGAGCAAAGTCGAGGGGATGCCTTTTACACTCGACCACTTCATCAGGTTATATAGCCCCCGCCTCTATCGAGGTAGGTTAATAAAACTTCAATGCCGAGCTACCAAAGTACTGTTCTCGAGCATAGACGATGATAAGGACCGAGGTTGGATGAGCCAGTTCATTCGAGTGAAGACTTCCGACCTTATCCCGGCCGAGAAGATGCCATTTCCCGGGAAATAGAATATGAAGCGTAAGTACAATTCTAATGTTAGCTCCTATTATTTTGCTCCTTCGTTTCTTTCTCACCGATACCCTTTTCCGTGATGTAGCTATTGCTTGGATGCCCGGTGCAATTCCTAACCTTAAAAGCTGGGTACGGGACCTGGCCTCGACCTCTACATATGCCGAGCGCTCATGGCGCGATTTATCAAAGGGCCGATGGGAGGCCAAAACATATGGTAAGCTTCTTTCCCACGCCTTTGTTGACTTTGTAAAGTGTTTCTTACTTATTTTATTTTTATACAGGCCTTGGCAAAGATGTTGTTATTAGGCCCTTATCTGGTGAGGAGGAGACTTCGATCCCGGCATCGAAATCGGTGAAGGACAAAAAGAGAAAAAAGATCTCGATCTCCGAGGATCCGGAACCTAAGAAGAAGAAGGGTCGTAAGCAGAGGAAGAATATCATCCTCCCGACCGAAGACTCTGTTCGGCGTCTTAGGGATGATGATGAAGAAGAGGAAGAAGATGACTCCAGGCTGGTAGCCCGAGTGAAAATGAGCACCGAGACCCCAAAGGCTACTAAATCGGTGAAGGCTGCAGAGATTCCATCTCGTGATGAGGGAGTCTCGGGAAAAGAATGTGTCAAAATCCCCGAGTCGTCGAGGATCGAGGCTAACCCCCACCATAATGAGCCAATGGTGGGTACTGCTGCATGGGCTGATCTCGAGGCCCCCCGAGATGGAGAGAATTCCCCATGTGATTCACTTAGGGAAATAGAAATTGGAGGCTCCCTGCTACTCCCCTCGTTGTTTGAGGAGATGATTTGAGAGGCTCGGGCCTTGAAGACCCTTTCCATCGAAGGAGGCCATGGAAGGGAGGATCCCTTCCGTGATTATTTTACTGGGGTCGAAAATGCTACCGGCCTGAGCGACTTGGAGGTCCCGAGGAAGGACTCGGGTGAGGCATCGAGCCTTTTCAATGAAGTGCAGCAAGCTTTGACTCAGGTCAGCCTTAACTCCCCTTGTTGGTATTACCCTTATGTTTGTTTTCCTTTTCTAACTTCCTTTCTTCTTTCTGCGTAGGCTTCAGTGCTTCATTGGGAAGCATTTTCTCGGTCTCGAACTGAGCTGAGTCGGTACGAGACCGACCTCCGAAGGCTCACGGAGTAGAGAAATGCCCTTAGACTTCTCTGTGGGCAAAAAGAAGAGGAGACCAAGGACCTCCGAGCTGAGTTAGCCAACGCTTACCAATATCAGACCGACCTGACCGAGCAGATAATGACAATCTTAAAAACGCATAGGCTCGATTGGGGAACATTGGCTAATATTTTGATTTCACAGCTGCAACAGAAGATCGAGATGACCGGGCAACTCCGTGAGGAGGTCGACATGATAAAGGCAGAGATCTTGGGGTGGAAAGAAGGTATGGACCGTTTCACTACAGAAAAAGAGACTGCCTTATCCCAATTGTCATCGGCTGAAAGTGTGCTTCGAGGCATGAAAGAGAAGAGCTCGGCTCAGGAAAACAAAAAAGCGGAGCTCGAAGCTTGGTTGGCTTCCGAACTTGAAAAGGCCAAATCTAAAGCTGAAAAGGATAAAGTCGAGGCAGACGCGATCGTGGCCGTCTACCGAGCCGATGCTGAAGCCGCTCAAGTACAAGCGAGAGAGGCAGTTGAGACCGCTCAAACTCGAGCATATTGGATTGTCGAACTCGCCAAATGCCAATCTCGGAGGGAAACCCTAGAGGAGATCCATGCTCGAGGTTTCAATCTTACCGAAGAGATAATAAAGGCTAAAGAGTTTGAAGCCGATGCTGGAGTCCTGGCTTCCGATGATGATGATGATGACGACGAAAGCAAGAGTGGGTCTGAGAGCGGGGAGGAGCTCGATGGAGAAGAAACTGCCACCGGAGAAAATCAGGAACCTTGGGGTTTTTCATATTTGATCTTTTTGTGTAGGGTCCTGATCGGGCATTGTAAATATTATTATATATATAAAGATCTTTTCCTTTTTTGACTTGTCTTTGTTTCATTTTCTGCCTTGTAAAAATTTTGTTCATAAGTTCGAGGCTTTAGGAAATTTGATCGAAGTCAGACCTTGTAGTCTTTATAATCGAGTGAGCATTTGCCCGAACTCGCATTAAGAGTAGCCATTGGGCTTAATAGTCGAGTGAGTGTTTGCTCAAACTCGAAGTAATGTAGCCCTTAGGCTTTATGGTCGAGTGAGTGTTTGCTCGAACTCGAATTAAGAGTAGCCCTTAGGCTTAATAGTTGAGCGAGTATTTTTTGAACTCGAAGTAATGTAGCCCTTAGGCTTTATGGTCGAGTGTGTTTTCTCGAACTCGAATTAAGAGTAGCCCTCGAGCTTAATAGTCGAGTGAGTGTTGCTCGAACTCGAAGTAATATAGCCCTTAGGCTTTATGGTCGAGTGAGTGTTTGCTCGAACTCGAAGTAATGTAGCCCGCAGGCTTTATGGTCGAGTGAGGATTTGCTCGAATTCAAAATGAAAACAGCCATTAGGCTTTATGGTCGAGTGAGTGTTTGCTCAAACTCGAAGTAATGTAGCCCTTAGGCTTTATAGTCGAGTGAGTGTTTGCTCGAACTCGAAGTAAGAATAGCTCTTAGGCTTAATAGTCGAGTGAGTGTTTGCTCGAACTCGAAGTAAGAATAGCTCTTAGGCTTAATAGTCGAGTGAGTGTTTGCTCGAACTCGAAGTAATGTAGCCCTTAGGCTTTATGGTCGAGTGAGTATTTGCTCGAACTCGAAGTAATGTAGCTCGTAGTCTTAATAGTCAAGTGAGTTTTTGCTCGAACTCAAATTAAGAGTAGCCCTAAGGCTTAATAGTCAAGTGAGTGTTTGCTCGAACTTGAAGTAATGTAGCCCGTAGGGTTTATGGTCGAGCGGGGATTTGCTCGAACTCAGAATGAAAATAGCACTTAGGCTTTATCGTCGAGTGAGTTTTTGCTCGAACTAGAAGTAATGTAGCTCTTAGGCTTTATGGTCGAGTGAGTGTTTGCTCGAACTCGAATTAAGGTAGCCCTTAGGCTTTTCAGTCGAGTGAGAATGATTTCTCGAACTCGAATTAATGGAAGCCTTTGGGCTCGATAGATAGTCCCCGAGTGAGAATGGTTGCTCGAACTCGAGATAGGATAGCCCTTAGGCTTTATGGTCGAGTGAGTATTTGCTCGAACGCGAACTAATGTAGCCCTTAGGCTTATGTGGGGCTTGATCTCGTTGATTTTTTGGTTGGCAGTCCCCAATTTATGGGGTAATGGTCGGCTCTTAAGCCTATTTGCATAATAGATCACGAAATAGAGGAAATTTTCTGTGATATGAGATATCGGTAAAGAAGAAATTTCTCATTATAAGTCATTATACATGTGTTCATGTTTTGTTCCAGGGCTCGAGCAAACTACACGAGCATGGTTCGTTTTGATCATTTCGCCCTTACAAGTTTTCCTATCAAAACACTGTTGTCATGAAGTAACTTTCTTGCATCGAACTTGATAATCGAATTTGATATATTCGAGGGTAATGCCCCCAGTATTCGAGGTTGATTGTAAAGAGGCCTCATATACTGTTGAATTGTTCTAAGTTAGCACGATCAATGGTTGCCTCATTAAAAACCTTGCCAAAAAACCCATTTGGGACAAAACTGATCTAAGGAAAAAAGAGTGCAACGCGTGCTTTGAGGCCTAAAGTCTTCGAGTTGAATAATCTATCCATATTTCTGGTCGAACACCTGTAAGGGTTAATTTTGAAATATAAATGATCATAGGAGGTCATACCTTAACAGTAGTATCGATTTAGGTGTGACACATTCCAATTGCTTGGTAGTTATTTGCCATTTATCACACCGAGCTTGTAGGATCCTTTTCCGATAATATTGAGAACCTGATACGGTCCTTCCCAATTCGGACCCAGTTTCCCTTCATTAGGATTTCGGGTGTTGAGGGTGATTTTCCTTAGCACCAAGTCCCCGATTTTAAAATGTCGAAGGTTGGTTCTTCGATTATAGTACCTTTCGATCCGCTGTTTTTGGGCGGCCAGTCAGACGAGAGAGGCTTCTCGTTTTTTGTTCAATAATTCTAGGTTCGTGCTCATAGTTTCGTTATTCGACTTATCTGTCGCACATTGAAACCTAACGCTAGGTTCCCCGACCTCAACTAGATAAGAGCTTCGGCACCATAACCAACGGGAATGGTGTTTCCCCGGTACTGGATTTTGATGTTGTGCGGTATGCCCATAGGACTTCGGGTAGTATTTCTCTCCATTTTCCTTTAGCGTCGGTTAATCTTTTCTTAAGATTTTGGATGATGGTTTTGTTAGTCGATCCGTCATGTCAGTTCCCGCTGGGATGATAAGGTGTTGATATGATCCTTTTGACTTTTTTGATCCTCGAGAAATTTAGTTACTTTGCTGCCGATTGCTTTCCATTATCACATACAATCTCGGATGACATCCCGAAACGACATATGATGTGGTCCCAAATGAATTCTATCACTTTTTTTTCTCTGACTTTCTCGAAAGCCTGTGCTTCAACCCATTTAGGGAAATAATCAGTCATAAACAAAATAAACTGAGCCTTACCTGGGGCCGAAGGGAGGGGGCCAATGACGTCCATCCCCCATTTCATGAAAGGCCATAGAGGTAGGACCGAGTAGAGGAGCTCCCCGGGTTGATGAATCATGGGCGCATGTCTTTGACATTTGTCGTATTTTCAAACGAACTCCCTTGCATCCTTGTTCATATCGGTCCAATAATATCATGCTCTGATTATTTTGTGGACCAACGAATCGGCACCAGAATGATTTTCACAAGTGCCTTCGTGAATTTCACCTAAGATGTAATCGGTGTCTCCTGGTCCCAAACATATTACCAATGGACCATCGAACGTCCTCCTAAATAGCATTCCGTCTTCGGACAAGATGAACCGTGCTACCTTTGTGCGCAGAGCCCTCGAATCTTTTGGATCTGACAAAAGCTTCCCGTTCTTGAAGTACTCTATATATTTGTTTCTCCAATCCTAGGTTAAACTCGTGGAGTTTATCTCGGCGTGGCCTTCTTTGATTACCGATCTCATGAGTTGTACGACAGTCCCCGAGTTGAGTTCATCATCTTCGACCGATGAACCTAAGTTTGCAAGAGCGTCGGTCTCGCTGTTCTGTTCTTGAGGTACATGTTGCAAAATCCATTCCTTAAAATGATGTAGAGTCACTTGTAATTTGTCCAAGTACCTCTGCATTCGATCTTCTCGGACTTCAAAAGTCTTGTTGGCTTGATTTAGCATGAGGAGGGAATCATATTTAGCCTCTATGACCTCGGCTCCCAAACTTCTAGCTAGTTCGAGACCTGCAATCACGGCCTCATACTCGGCCTCATTGTTAGTCAATTTTGTAGTTCTAATAGACTGTCTTACTACATTACTTGTGGGTGATTTTAGTACGATTCCCAGTACGGACCTTTTTGCATTCGAGGCACCGTCCGTAAAGAGGGTCCATACTCTCGAAGAGGTACCCGATTTTATCAATAATTCCTTTTCAATCTCGGGTACGAATACCGGTGTAAAGTCAGCCATGAAGTCTGTTAAGATTTGGTATTTGATAGCGGTTCAAGGTTGATACTCGATGTCGTACCCGCCGATCTCTAAGGCCCATTTGGCCAATCGACCTGAAAGCTCAGGTTTGTGCAAAATATTTCGAAGAGGATAAGTTGTTACAACATGTATTGGATGGCACTGAAAATAAGGTTTTAGTTTCCTAGAGGCACTTATCAAAGCAAGTTCTAATTTTTCTAAGTGGGAATATCTAGTTTCGACCTCGCCTAAAGTTCGACTGACATAATAAATAGGGAATTGCGTACCTCGTTCTTCTTGAATCAGGACTCCGCTTACCGCTATCTTCGAGACAGCTAAATATAGATAAAGTTGTTCGTCTGCCTTCGGGGTATGAAGCAACGACGGGCTCGATAAATACTGTTTTAGCTCTCCCAAAGTCTGCTGACATTCCAGAGTCCATGCAAAATTGCTTTTCTTCTTAAGCAGAGAGAAAAATCGGTGGCTCATATCTGAGGATCTCGAAATGAATCATCTCAGGGAGACTATCCGTCCCATTAGCCTCTGTACGGCCTTCATATTATCTACCAATGTGATGTCCTTTCGATTTTATCGGGGTTAATCTCGATCCCTCGATTGGACACCATGAAACTGAGAAACTTGCCCGGGCCAACCCCGAATGCACATTTTTCGGGGTTGAGCTTCATATTGTACTCCCTCAGTATGTCGAAAGTTTCCTGCAAGTGCTTTAAATGGTCCTCTGCTCGCAGGGATTTAACTAACATGTCATCAATATAAACTTCCATTGATTTTCCTATTTGCTTTTCAAACATTCAGTTTACTAGGCGTTGATAAGTTACACCAGCATTTTTTAGACCAAATGGAATTACATTATAACAGTAGGTACCGTACTTAGTGATAAACGAAGTCTTTTCTTGATCATCCTAGTTCATCTGTATTTGGTTGTACCCGGAATAGGCATTGAGAAAACTAAGAATCTCATGGCCGGCCGTGGCATCGATCATACGATCGATATTAGGCAAAGGAAAAGAATCCTTAGGGAATGCTTTATTCAGGTCTTTATAATCTATGCACATTCTAAGTTTGTCCTCCTTTTAGGGACTACCACCATATTTGCTAGCCATTCGGGGTATTTTACTTCCCGAATGGATCCTATTCTAAGAAGTTTGGTTACCTAGTCTTTGATGGAGGCATGTTTGACCTCGGACTGGGCCTTCTTTTTTGTTTTACCGGGTGGAATTTTGGGTCCAAGCTTAGCCTATGAGTGGTGATTCCTGGTGGGATCCCTTTCATTCAGGCAGATGTTCGATTAGCGTGATTTGCTCCAGTTCTTCGACCGTTGATTGGGTAGTGTCG